AACACACTTTGGAAGAAGTAATTAGACAAGGGGATACTTAATGAATGGATGGAGTCTAGGAAGCTCAGAGGAATACAGGGACCTTGAGACTGCTTATCCACAGCTCCCGAAACATGGCTGGGCAGGTCAGTAGGGTAGCTAAGAAGGCATATGTGACATTTAGCCTTTATCAGTCATGGCATAGTTCATAAGAGCAGGCAGGTTGTGTTGGAGCTGTACAGAACTTTCATTAGGCCACAGCTGAAGTATTGTTTGCAGTTCTGGTCACTGCACTATAGGAAGGATGTGATTGCACTAGAAGCGGTGCCGAGGAGATTCATCAGGATACTGTCTATAATGGAGCAGTTTAGCTCTGAAGAAAGGCTGTATAAGGTAGGATTGTATTTTTTAAAGCAGAGAAGACTGAGAGGGGATCTGATTGAAATGGATAAGATTATGAGGGGCATGCACAGGGTCGATAGGAAGCAGCTGTTCCCCTTAGTCGAAAGGTCAAAAATAGGTGGCATGATTTTAAGGTGAACGACAGGAGGTTTAAAGGAAAAAGGTGTTGGGGATCTGAAAAGCACTTTCTCGGAGAATAGTTAAGACGGGAAACCTCACAACTTTTAAAAAGTACTCAGATGAGCACTTGACATTCAAGGCTATAGGTCAAGTGCTGGAAAGTGGGACTAGTATAGACATAGAGTGTTTTCATTTGTCAGTGCAAGGGCTGAAGGACATCTTCTGTACTGTATGATTCAATTCTAAATAAGTCATTGGTCGAAAGGGCTTGAAGATAGTAATGTGTTTTGATGGCGAAACACAGCTAAGCTGTGTGATTTTGTACTTAAACAGTAATAGGTGTAGGAATGTTCATTTGCATTTGCAAGAAAGTGTTAGCAATGCCGCCTCTGTGCCCTGACAAACAATGGCTTCTGATTGTGGTCCCCCCACATGTACAGTGAAGAGCAACTCTGTAACGCCATGAAGGGCAATTATGGACTGCCATGAAGGGCAACTCCAGACCGCCGATCATACACGGTTGAGGTTCAAAGATGGGATGCCATCCTGGAACATCAAAAGCACTTGAAAGTGTTGAGGGATGCACTAAAGCTTGGGTCAGCTGCTGCCAAGGCATAGTAGGGAAAGACCACTGTCTGACGTCTTTCTTCTAAAGTTAAATGGGGATCCATTCAGTTATTGCCCCCTCCAAGTGCCTCAGATACATGTAAATATAGGCTGGTTCAAGTAAGAGATGTCTGTCGTTTTTTGGATAGAGTCAAACTCCAATATTTGTTTGAGAAAGGGTCACTGGATCCAAATCGTTAACTCTGATTATCTCTTCACAGATGCTGCCAGGCCTGCTGAGCTTTTCCAGCAATTTCTGTTTCTGATTTACAGCATCCACAGTTCTTTCATTTGTTTTTTCCAATGTTTGTTTGTTTCCTTGATATGCTACTGCACTGAACTGAACTGCGTTTATGACTGTGTATTTTTATGAATAAAGTATATTTTTGGAATTAAAAAAGCAACTTCTGCCTATGGCAAGATGGGGGAATTGGGTGAGCATCAGAAGAGTGGGGCACTGTAGGTGTGTGACATCTAGTTACTGAGGTGAGTTGGGACAATAGCATGAGAAAACCCTCTCAGTCTCATAGAGGGAAACAATCAATGAAACTCAACGAAAATGACACTAAGCCAAATTCTGGTCAAATTTAGCCCACTGAATTTTTAGAATATGCCACGTTTCAAAACTCAGTTTTCTTCCATGGATCTTTACTTATTGTCCAGGTTTTTTGAGGCATACGTGAAAGTGGATTGAATGTAGCATCTTATCTCCCAAACATCACAGGTTTGAAAATTCATCCTGGTAATGGCACAGAATGGAGTTGAATCAGAATGACTGTGCATTGTACTCAGGTTCCAATAGTCAATTCACTTGTAGTTAATGGGATTAAGTATGAGCCATTGTACCTGCTCAATTTGTGATGCCACGAGAATTTCTAGCCCTGGGTGTAAAGTATTACATAAATTGTTATTGTTGAGTAAAATTACAGGCATATGCCCTTTTAATGTGACTAACTGAAACTGCCATTCACACGGGGTCAAGTCAATTAACAGACTGCAGATATTCTGGCTCAGAAGTCTTGTGTTCCTGAATCATTCCATTATCTTGGCAAGTTTTTAAAATAAACAAGACATAGAAACGTACATTCAACAGTGTATGTACTGCACAGAATGTGCATGCAATATCCAAAACGATTTTTAAAATGTAGGAGCAAATTGCTGCAGATGCTGGAATCTGTACTGAAAACAAAAAATGCTGAAAATCACAGAGGAGGGTTAGGCAGCATCTATGGAGAGGGAGCAAGCTAATGTTTTGAGTCTAGATGGCTCTTCATCAGAGTGTTACAGGTAGATTTCTCATATCATTGTTCAGTAAGTGAAAGATTATGCAGTTTTATAACAATAAAAGGATTATCAACAAATTGAAAAAGTGAAATTATAGATGTAGAAAATGCTATATGAAGTGTGATGCTGAAGGATGTGCATACCATATCCAATGCTTTCAGGATGTTGAGGGATAAATACATTCAGGGTGTGTTATATAAAGGTTTCAGTTTGTCGCTGCTTCGAGCAATGCAGATCAACTTGTCACCCAAGTATGCCTGGGTTTGTTGAATGCTTGCCTTTGAGTCAGAAGGTTCCTTGATTTAAGCCTAAATTTGGCTATTTACTCTGATATGTCATGCTCAGTCAGCAAGCAATCTTCTAGTCAGTTGCTCTCATGCTCACATTTCTGTTCAACTTCAGCTGTGCTGTTTTTATTGACTCACTGGCTGGGCCAGTATTTATGGCTTGTCCATAGTTGCCCTTGAGAAGGTGGTGGGGGACTGCCTGCTTGAACTGATGCAGTCTATTTGCTGTAGGGAGAACCACGATGCCATTAGGGAGGGAATTTCAGGAGATGCAGTGGAGCTCAGCACCAGGTGGAGTAACAACACCTCATTTTTCAAATAGACGCCTTGCAGCCTTCAGGACTCAACACTAAGTTCAACAAACAAAATAGAAATTGCTGGAAAAGCTCAGTTCTGAGGAAGTGTCACTAGACCTGAAACGTTAAGTCTGATTTCTCGCCACAGATGCTGCTAGACCTGCTGAGGTTTTCCAACTATTTCTATTTTTGTGTCTGATTTCTAGCATCTGCAATTCTTTCTGTTTTTATTAAATTCAACAGCTTCAGACCAGGATCCATGTCCTCTGTTTTGCTCCAAGCCCCGTGACTGCGTCTTGTTTACATTATTTATTTTTTCATCACAGCTGATCTTTATTTTGCATTTACACCAGACCTATGCTTCCTTCTTACTCCACAAACCCTTGTGTTTTGTTCTATAGAACCTTTGATCCCCATCTCCTCCTAGCCTCTAACCTTCCCTTTTGTTCCATTGTCCCTTCCTTTTGTGTTTCAACAGCCTTACACCAGCATCTTTCTTGCCCCTTTAGTACTGAAAAAGTTGCATCAGATCCTGAAGGTTAACCTTGTTTCTATCCACAGATGCTGCAAGCTCTGCTGGGTTTCTCCAGCACTTTTTGCAGAATGTACAAAAGGGAAATTTTACTAGCTACAGCTGCAGTCAAATACCCTGCCACATAACACATTGGGTCTGGCACTCCAAGGCACTACTGAGGAAGTGCAACACAATCAGATCACATAGAAACTAACTGCACAGAAACAGACACTTTGGTCCAACCAGTCCATGCCGAATGTAATCCAAACATAAACTAGCCCCTCCTGCCTGCTCCTGGCAACCTTTCCTATTCATGTATTTATTCAAATGTCTTTTAAACGTTGTAATTATACCCACATCCGCCACTTCCTCAGGAAGTTCATTCCATGCGTGAACCACTCTCTGTGTAAAAAAATTGCCCCTCATGTCTTTTCTAAATCTCTCTCCTCTCACCTTAAAAATATGCCCCCAAGTCTTGAAATCTCTGATAGGGAAAAGACACCTACCATTAACCCAATCCATACCTCTCATGATTTTATAAAGCTCTATAAGGCCACCTCACAACTTCCTACACTCCAGAGAAAAAATGTACCTGCCTATCCAGCCTCTCTTTATAACTTCCATACCAGGCAACATCCTGGTAAATCTCTTCTGAACTCTCTCTAGATTAATAATATCCTTCCTATAACAGGGCGACCAGAACTGCACACAGTACTCCAGAAGAGGCCTCACCAATGTCCTGCAAAACCTCAACATGATAATCAAACTCCTCTACTCATCTTTAGGTTGAGATGGCAAATCTAGCCTGCTTTCTCAAAAGATCTAAATGGATCTATTTGGGGGCTGTAGGAGCGTTCTTAAGCTCTTTGTCGCCTTGCTGAAGTATTTCCAGTTGGAAAAAAGAGCCCAGGCTCTCAGCGACAGGATAAGGACTCTTTTGTTTCACTCTAACCCAACCACCAGCCTTCTTTCAGAGCCTGTCTCCCAGCAGACGCTGGCCATGCAGGAACCAGGCGCTTTGAGTCTTAAAGACAAGGCGTCAGTCCCTCTAGTGGTCGATGTGAGAGCGAAATCGCTGAGATACCAAAGAAACGGCGACTAGATAGGAAAGGGTAATCACTGCAGGGTTCCCACTGATTCGATGCATTTGACTGCACTGATGAAAGAGGTTCTAAACGAAACAGTTACAATGAGAACCTCCAATGTGACAATGCCCTCCCGCTTATTGAAGTGAACTAGGATACGTGTTGGGATGGGGGTGAATCTATTGCAAAACATTAAAAAAAGTTGCAACTCTATAAACACCAAATCAATTGGGTAGCTGTGAAGTTTCCCGGGCGCAATTTGAAAACCCGTCGTGTTTTTAATTTTAAGGAAAAAAAATGATATTTAATTTTCTCTGTTCCTCTGTGTAAGCTGTTGCCTTTAACATTGCGTTGGCAGTCAAAGAGCAGTCCACGCGATATTGCTGCTCAGTCTTGGCTCAGGCAGGCACTAGGTGTAGTGGTACGATATAAATTATTGGAGTTTATTTTCCAAATGCAACGTAATTTGGCGACGGTGAAGCGTCCCTTTTTTTCTTCTCTCTCTCCTGGAGAGTCGTGCCTTCCGAACGGATTTAATCAGCTCGAGTTGCTGTGAGTAATCTGACGCAGACAGCAACGGGGGAGCCAGGCCGTTGAAACGGCGGCGGCGTTTTGTTTTTGGAGCAGCTTGAAGACAGGCTGCAATAAAGCAAATCCGCAATGACCACCTCTGTCTTTTCTGCTCCTGATCGGGAATTCCAAAGAGCTGGGTAAAAAAAAAATGGAGCGAGGTAAGCACGCTTAAGATGTTGTGAGAGAGAGACAAAACCCCGCTAGGAACAGATTACTGCAGATGCTGGATTCTGTACTGAAAACACTATGTATGCATTTTTAATATTGCATTCAAATATTTAACAATGATTGCACAACTCCTCCCCATTAGAAATGAGTGTCTCTGCTCATCCTTCTGGCTCAAATCAGCAGATGTTTGACAATTAATTTGACTTTTTTTCTCAAAAATAAAACATAAATTGAGAGATGGGGAGGGCTTGCTTTTAGAACGCTTAGCTCATTCTGGTCTGCTTGCATTCCGCTATTGGAAGTGAATTCACCACCTCCTTTCCCCAGCAGCAACCTCCAGTTTGCAGCTGGAAAGTTAGGATTGCATGTCCCCTGTACATTTCGGATACTTGTTTGATGAACGTATCTTTATTTTTTTAAAATATCTCCCTTCCTCTCTCCCCAGGGGTGATTGGGATTGGGGGGGTGGGAAGGTGGATGTGTACCAGTGTTACGAGGAGGATTAATATTAAAGGAAGGGTTTGTTCTTTCTGGACCTAGGGCAACCAAGAGACAGAGACGTCGAACCAGCCAGGATGTCAGATTCGAGCCTCAGCACCGATTGCGAGGAGCAAAGTTTTCCGGGGCTGTCCTTGCAGATGAAGAGCAAGCTTCAAGCTCGGGAAGGGGCACCTTGTAAATAAAGACACACACAGACAGAGGGGGGAAAAAAAAACATAAACAGAGAGAACTGCGGATGCTGGAGACCTGAAACAGAACAGAAAGCAGAGGAGAGGCGCTAGAGAAATTCAGCAAACATCTGCGGAGAGAGAGCAAACTGAACGTTCTCTTCGAGTGAATGTTTTGAGTGACTGTGCAGAGAAAGGAACAAAATCGGTGCAAACTTGTGTGATTTTCCCCCTTTCTCTCTCCTTAACAATCCAATCCCAACCCACAGTCCATTCACCACCGTCCAGGTTTGTGCCATGTAAATAAAAGACAAGAGAGAGATCCCTGGGCAAGGTTTTGCTCCTGGCGTTGGTGTGAAGATGGTGGATCCTCTTCCCCTGTGTCAGCCACGGCCAGTTCCGCGGAGAATCAACCAGGGAAGCGGCCAGGAGCATGGGTGGCGAGAACCGCCGTTTGCCAGCTCTCTGAATAATGTCAACCAGAGACAGTTCTCCCAGGCACTTCAGTGACAAGGTAGCGCAGACCCCGGCCAAGGAGCTGATCCGGAACCGCATGAAAATGGTCATCGACCAGCTCGAAGTTATCCTCCAGGAGCTGAAGGAAGTGGCGAAGGAGCTGAAGGAGGTAAGGCTGGTTTTGTTCCCTTGCTCTCTCTCTTTTGACCAACTCCCAGACCGTCCCCTGTTTGGAATTCAAGAAATTCGCCCCCCCCTTGCATTTATTTTAATGCTTTGCCTTCTCACAGAAGCTGTTCTTAATTTTAATGAAGCCCGTGCAATTTTAGCATTGGTTATGACTAACTCCCTGACCGTTCCCAGCTTTGCATACAAGAAAATCGTGCTCCCTTCCTTGCATTTATTTTAACCATTTTGCATTCTCACAGAGGCTGCTTTTAGTTTTAAAATATGCCACGCAATTTCAACATTTGTTGTGACTAACTCTTAGACAGTCCCCAATTTGGTATTCAAGAAAATCGTGATCTCTTTCTTGCATTAATTTTGATTCTTTGCATCCTCCGAGAGGCTGTTTGTAGTTCTAATACCATGCGATGCAATTTCAACATTTATCTTGACTAACTCCCAGACTGTCCCCTGTTTGGAATTCAAGAGAATCGTGCCCCACTTCTTCACATTTATTTTTAACTATTTGCATTCTCACAGAGGCTGCTTTTAGTTTTGGAAGATGCCAAGCAATTTTAACATTCATTGTGACTAACTCCCAGATCTTCCCCCGTTCGGTATTGAAGGAAGTCGTCCTCTCTTCCTTGAATTTATTTTAATCCTTTGCATTCTCACAGAGGCTGCTGTTATTTTTGTTTAGAAACGCATATGATACAGTTTTAACATTGCAAACGTGTACCAAAAGGATCTGAACGTAGACTAAGCTGAGATTTGCAAAGGAAGGAGAGAGAAAGCGATCACGGTTCCCCCCTCCCCCCACCCCGCCACGACAACCTTCGGCTTGCACTGTTTAAACTTTGCCCATCCCATCGCACTGCTGCCTACTGAAGAACAGAGGAGTGTAAAGTTGCAAGGCTTTTTGCAGAGATGTTCCGGATTGTGCATACCTCTTCGACGTTGCTTATGCAGATTCTGGGTAGAAAGAGCTGGACAGCAGATTCCTTGGCAGTCTGTGCACCTCTCCCTCCTCTTCCTCCACCCGTCTGACAACACCCTGCAAATATTGGCCAAACATTCTCAACAACAGCCTCGCAGAGAAACACATTCCTAGCTATGATCTGTCCTTCAAAGACACGTGCTCCTCACATAATAACTAATGACCCACATGTAATCTCAAACCACTTCGTTAATAGCTATTGCAATGTAACACAATTCTTGACCTGCTACCTCTTCATGATTGTATTTGCTAGTTCCGGATTTTATTTTGTTGCTTTTTTATATCTATCTGTCGCAGCGAGACTCTTGCCTTTGCTTTAATCAAGTGTTTGTTGTTATATGATCTATCTCAGTTAATCCAAGGACTCGAGAGCGGATTTCTGGTCACCCAGTCTCCGAGCTGTTTCTAACCATGCCTGGATGCATTTGCAAATGTCCCCCAGTCCTAAATTAATCCCGATTGACTGAAATTTGTCTGTTGAAGTCCTGTCAAAAAATATACCGTACAGCTTCTTGTGGTGAGCCAGTTGCCATTAGTGACTAAGATTGCTAGTGGGAGAGTGATGGAGAGGGAGAAATAGAGTGGGAGAAAAACAGAGAGAGATAAAGAGGGAGAAACAGGGAGAGAAACAGTGTGGCAGAGAAACAGATGGGGAAATAGAGAGAGAGAAACAGACAGGGAGAGATAGAGTGGGAAAATAGGGAGAAACAGAGG